ACTGCCTCCACAAAATGTAAATGTTTTCTGCCAATGAAATGATTAGCCTGTTGCAGTTGTATTCTATCAGTTGTCACTAATTACAACTATCATTTACCAAAAATCAGCTATCACTATGAACCACTACTAACCAGATTTACTTGGAGGCCGTCGTCACTTGTGGTGTATGGTCTGCACCCGACGCTCTTCTCGTTTTTTGAAAGGGAGGGTACATGCGCCTGATTTCTCCTTGTCATTGTGTATCCATCATTCTTTCCTTCCGAAATGGACGTCTTGGGGCTGATGTGATGTATTCGTGATATACTTGTTTTTTTTTGTAAAGAATTCTAGCTAAAATGTATGGATCACGTCAGTGAAACTGTATGAGAGGGGAGACAAGTGCTCCAGAAGCTCTACTCCCTTTCAAAAAACGAGAAGAGCGTCGGGTGCAGACCATACACCACAAGTGACGACGGCCTCCACAAAATGTCTGCCAATGAAATGATTAGCCTGTTGCAGTTGTATTCTATCAGTTGTCACTAATTACAACTATCATTTACCAAAAATCAGCTATCACTATGAACCACTACTAACCAGATTTACTTGGAGGCCGTCGTCACTTGTGGTGTATGGTCTGCACCCGACGCTCTTCTCGTTTTTTGAAAGGGAGGGTATCACGTTCATGTGAAAAGTTGCACATCCAACACAGGGCGTGCAGAATCCCGCGGACGCTCCAGGAGTTGAATCCTGGGTCGAGCGGCCAACCAAGCCTTCCATCCCTCCGGGGTCGGTTAATTGGTACCAGACTTGTCTGGGAGGATAAAAACACTGACTTGTACATCGGCTGGCCCCGCAAGTCATTGTATAGGCCATCGCATTCAACTTTCACTACACCTTTATGAATGGAAAGTGAAATGAATACTCTAAAAAGGGATTAAATTAATAGCAAATGCTTATCTTTATCCTCAACCAGGGCTTCGAAGTAGCAATTCTTGTCTGCATGCGGCAGCGCGGCGTTCTCTTCGTCCGCGCTCTCTAACCGTGAGTTCGCCCAGTCTCAAGCTTTCGGAAGGAATGAGTGAGGGATGAGGCATAAGGGAGTTGGAAGAAACAATGGAGATCACAGTAGGGCTTTTTCAGGACCTCCTCAGAAAGGTTTGTGGCGAATACTGAAAAGGTCGTCGCCCAGCACATCTGAACTTGAAATCGCCCTCATTTTGCCACATCAATAAACCTTTTACTCAACACTTTTGTTCGCTCACAAACAGAGTTGGCCTTGGGTTTTCCTACATGTTTCACGCTGCTGCTGTTTTTTTTTAACTGCCATTCTCTCACCTCCCCTCCATTCTTCCGCACCCCCCCCCTCCCTCCTCGCCTGGTAAATTTTACACAGCGTTCACAGTTTGCGATTCTGTTACTTGCGCGTGCAAAACCACAGTCGCCATGATGTGCTGCGGCGCGACTCTGTTGTCATTTGATCACTCCTTTTGGCATTGTTCTTGTTCACTCACCTTCCCTTTCGAATCTGCATTCCGTTTTTCAGTCAGTCCCTTTTCATTGTTTTGCTCGATTAAGTCTTTTGAAACCTATTTTGTCGGGGTCCTTTTTGGCAATGGCAGGAAACCCTTTCAAGGCAGTGAAGACGGATTTATTTTCGATTAAAAACGGCTTCATTAGCAATTAAAGTCATGAGTCATTG